AGATTTCAAATTGAATTTTGTTTATCTTTTTGTGTTCTTTTTAGTCATACCTACTAACTTCTACTACTCTATGTAAAAATAACGAAATAAAATACTCCACGTGTTTTTGTATTATTATTCGCTTATAGGGAACTTTCGATATAATGAACCAGTTTTAGTTAATTTTTCAAGTTCGTTATATCCGGACTCAAGTATTAATATGATCTATACATATGTAACGTTTATCATCAAAAGAATACAAGGCAAGTTTGTTTACATTGAGTGTGTACATTTGAAAATTTTGATTTCTTATAGTATAAAAATTATTAAAATCGATTTTAATTTGTTTAGTCTCAAACGGGACGTCGTAGAAAAAAAGTCAAGACAACATTTTTTTATTTAAAATTATCCACAGACGTACCTGTAGCCACGCAACCGGAAAAGATAGAAACAACATTTTTATCGAAAAACGTGTGTTGTTCTTAGGTGCCTAAGCCTGTCAAATTTCGTTATATTAGTCCATGCGGTTTTCGAAATATTAATAAATATATTTTTTTTATGAAAAGTTTAACACCCTGTAGATCGGAAACTAATGGTTTTCGGAACCTGGTCTATTAACGAAATATATCCAAATTTCCTTGCACTATGACCCCCTGCAAGGAATGCATCTACTTACCCAACACCCTGTATAATCACAATAAGAACACTTTCTAATAACAACAGGTTTAGAGCACACTATTTATTCGAAAATTGTTATTATAGTTCCACCACTGATCGACCGGAAACAATGCACGTGTTATCTTGTTATCTTTAAAATGATACGAAAAAGACATAATATGCAATTATGTGCATTCACATCCTGTGGGCATAGAAAAATAACAACATTTTGAAATTTTAATCCTTTCCAGAACAAAAAAACTTTTTCAGTATTCTAACCACCGTAGGGAACTCTTGTTATCTGTTAAAATAATGCGAAAACATAATACACAATTATGTAGGTATTTTGATACATCTATGTCAATTTAAAAATTACTTTATTTTATTTTGTTTGCCAATTCAAGTATGTTAATTTTTGAAATTAGGTGCAGGCTCCCAGCCATTAAAATCTGTACTAAATCCTAACCATTTAACGAATACTTTATTTCCCCTTTTGGCAAGTATTTTTTCAACTAAATAAACGTCTGGGTGAAATGTTTTTTGGATCTCCTGCTGATAAAAACATCCCAATATTGGTGTGCCATTTAAATCACTAAGCATATAAGTAGGAGGATAGGTAGGGTTCACTTTCGTTACTTTAAATAGTTCCGTTGTCCAGTTAGCAGTACATATTCTGTTTCTCCCATAGGGTTTCATATTTATAATAGTAAACTGAATATTGAGGATAATGATTTATTCCTCATTTTTGATCGAAACGCTTTATAAATGCATATTTCTGACCTTCTTACGTCGAAAGGAACCGATTGAGCTCAAAAAACGCACATGTGAAACTTTGATTTTTGGCCTAAATTTCTCCAAGGGTGGGGTTCGATTTTTTTTTTAAGTTTCAGATCAGAAATAATAGACATTTTCGGCACATTTTAAGCGTTTTTTGAGTGTTCACGATCTTCGAGATCGAAAGGCATTTCCAACAAGTAATACACGTTTTCCAAAACGAACGTGTAAAAACCGGTTAATTAAAAACTTCAATTGCAATAAATACGGCTTTACTGACAGCTGATTTCAAAGTTGATGTGTTT